ATACTATAATAGTAGTGGCATTTTAAGGTCTTCCCTTATTTGAAAATTTAATTTATATTTTTGGAGAGTGCCGCTTCAGTCGTGTAGACATAACTATTCAAACGCGTTCTAGTTCAGAAACTAAAAACAATACTAATATTTGTAAATCATTGCATGATATTATCATTGATGTGGTTTGAATGTGTCGAAAACAAACTTTGTTCAGTTTATCTGCGCTTTTTAAAGCGGGTCCGTCGTCGCGCTGCGCATGTCCAGAGTTTTTATTTACAAACACCTTTTGTTGCCCACAATGCACCTCGCTATTTTTTTCTAATTCAAAATGGCGGCAAACTACGATTTAGCGATGATTGAGGAAGCACTGCGAACAGTTGAAAACGTTGATGAACCAAGGTCCTGCAAATGCAAAGGTGCCTGTATGCGGAAACACGGACGTGGAGCTTGTCCTTGCAAGACATGGGACGAATTGTGCAACGATGCATGTAGTTGTGGTAAACACCGGCCATGCATGAATAAGGCATCGGTAAGCGAAACTTTATATTTCTATTTTTTACTCCATGTAAATTTTACATTGGTTTTTGTACATTTTGGGTGGATCATTTATTCATAATCACGTACCTCAAATGAGACAAACATGTAATAGTTATCAGGTATTAAATATGATAATACCGTCATTGCGGTAAATCACCACCTAGCCAAATACAGTTCTGTAGCTCACGATTACCGGTCTTCGGGTTCCAAGGGTGGGTGGGTCGCTAAGTATTCGGAACACACAGTTATCGAAGCACACGCAGGGTTATCCACTGCCTAGCATGCGTATATTATTAATAGCCATTTTAATTTTAGTAATTTTGTATTATTTAGTAATTTAGTGATTGTATTTTGTTATTTAGCATATTGTTTTATATTTGTTGCTTGTACCTTGTGACCATTTCCTTTCCCTTTTCATAAAATAAAAATAAACAAATAAAACAGATGTCAAAGTCATTACAAGCAGGAATTTATAACTTAAAAAGATGCTGCTAATGCAACACTAAAACAGTAGTTGGAAGGGCTTGTGTGTTTTGTTTATTGACAGTCATTGGCCTTGTAAATGATAGTCCAGGAAGTTATATAATCAAATGCACAGACTATGTGTCTCTTCTTGATATTCCATGACACAGTATTTATCCAATTATATTGATCATGTGAATACTTGTAAGCTTGCTTTGTTTATTTTGGAATTCTATTACATGCTGCTAATATTTTATTGCCTGAATGTCACACCGAGTAGTAGTGTGTATTGACACAACAATGCTCTTGCAGCCAAATAATATGATTTTGTACTATTTGTTGAGAACATCTTCAGAAAGAAATATTGATTGATAGTGATTGATCCTACCAAAATACTATACACCCACCAAAAAAATTTTCACCTCACCTATTTATCAAAAATAGTTATGGTACCCCCCCCCCCCCCCCAATATTTTGTGTGGGGTACAAAAGGAAGTCTTTCTTTAAATTCATCCTTGAAATTGTTTGTATCGTTTTCTTGAATTTTAGTTTCCAGTGCCCCAACATTTTGATTCATAGATTATAACTGATTTGTTTAAGATGTTAAATAATCTCATTTTTAGGTCTATATATCTAAAATTCTAGAGAGATTATTTTAAATGTAAATTGATTTGTCTGTTTTTGTAGCCAGATGTGACATTACATTTTTGAAACTTGCCATATGATTTTATTACTATTCCCAGATATGTGTAGTTGTAATTTTACAAAGTTAATTTTGTGGAAATCAATGGTAAATTTAGACTTGTTACATGCCTCAACTGTATGAAGTTTGATGTACGCCAGTTTTTATTCCACGAACAGCATTCAAAATTTACTAATCAAAACTATATTGTTGTATATAAATTTAGATTAAAATTAAACCATTCAGGACTAGTTGTCATGAAAATATATTTTTCTTTTTATTCAACCTACCATTATAGTCACCTAATATGACAAACACCCATATCATGTACAATTATCAAGGGAAATAATTTAGACATATACCCTTTGTGTACACCTCTGAAATTTTGTTTATTGGTTTGTGGGGATATTTAGGGTGAAAATAAAATCATAAAATAGAAGTATATACAATATGGATTAGATGATATGCTGAATGTGATTTTTGTTCAACTATGTTTACAGTAGAGATTTTTAATTTACACCTGGCTATGAAGCATAATTTACCTACATTTCAATGTTTTTCCCATGAATATATAATTTATTGCATTAATAACCTTTTCATTTTTTTTTTTTACCTAATTCAATATTTTTGTGGCTGTAAACTAATAAAAATATTATTTCCAAGCATTTAATATTATGTTATCTTTGTTTTTAGGATTCTACATCTGAAGACTCAGATGGGGCTGAAGATGCAGTAGCAGTGAACACTCGCATCCCTCAGAGAAAACGACGACTAGTGGTGCAGAGACAGGTGCCGCTCAGTGAGGAGGATAAACAAAGAGACCACAAAAGAAAAATGCAGGTAAAGATTTGATAGCGCTTACACATATTCTGTGACCTGGAGACAACAAACCGGAAGCTAGGACATATTTTGAATGTTCCAAACGCACAGAGTTGCAGTGCACCGAACATCAATGTTTCCAAATCTCAACGCAAAAATTCACCTGAAATAAAACTGCCACCTTCTTTCAACTAACTCGTACCAGCCTCTGACAATTTGCACACTATTCTGCCTAAGCAAGAATAACGAGCATGCAAATTATCTTTGGCTATAGCATAATATTTTTATATTTTTTGGGAGTTGAAAAACTGTCGTATTCACACACATACACATACCATCTCTATTTCAGTCTGTTTTTTTCTGAAAATCACCTTTTTAACTGACAATTCATGTTTCTCAGCTGTCTTAAATAGTTCTTCCAGCTGCCCTTGTTTGTAGCCACCCACAATCACTCCACTATCTTTAAAAAACTTTTTCAAATATGTCACTGACTTCACTGACTTCCGGGTTGCATGTCGACCGGTGTTCATTTGACTTTTTATATTTTTGTCCTACCCTCACCTGTTGCTATGTAGGTTACGCATGTGCAAATAGAATTACACCACGTCTGACAATAATTCAGAAATAGGGATTTGTGCTCATAAATGTTATTCTTTTTTTAAATCGCCCCTTTTCAGAAGTGCATAAGACCTAAGTGCAGAATTAAGACAATCTATTTCCATTTTTTATGAGCAGTACTTGAATTTGTTATTCAACCCTCCCCCCAAAACAAAAACTATGTTTACTGTGTGCGTGTTTCAATTACCCATGTCATTTTAGTCAGTGGTATGATTGTTGTTTACAGTTGCAAATACATGTATGAAATTTCTTATTTTTCAGGAATTTGTTAGTGGTCTACCCAGAGAAAGGCTTGAGCATATAACATTAGAGTTGTTCAGACGTCAACCAGGTGCGTGTGCTGACTTGGTATTACAAGAAGGCTCAGACCCCACCATCAGTAATCCACCTCCAGATCCACTACCTGTTCCCAAGCCTAATGAGACTACTCCACCATGGTGCAAGTGTGGACAATGCATAAATATGCCAACTCAGATTGAGAACAAATGTTGTGTTGTCAGACAAGGCCAAGAGTGTCTTACTGGTTCTTGGTTATTCCAACATTTAGTATTAGATGGTGATGTCCTTGAAGTAGCAATGAGAGTGGTGGCTGATGTATATGCTGAGAATCCTCTTAGAGACAATGCATGTTTTCGTCACTATGCCTATAGGCAATTTATTTATTGGCAATATGGACGTTTGGGGAAAGGTAACCGTCGTGTTGTACCATCATGCTGTGTTTGGGCAGTAAGGCGAAGATTTCCTAGCCCCAATAATGTATATGTTGGCTTTAAAGAAGGTGCAATACAGGATTGATCATCTCTGGTCTTGATTTATATTATAAATACTAATCAGTTAGTCACATTTAATATGCACTTTGTAACACTGTATAAATAAGAGAATAAAAAAATTAGCAGCTAGATTCCCAACAGAATTTATATGATAGTTAATCTCAATAGCCATACTGTAAACCGCTTTAATTTTGCTTGCTATACATTTTTACGAAAACCTGAAAATCATGTTTAAAACAGTATCATCGTTTAAATCTGGCGACGTTCAAAGCTTTGGCAGGCATTGTAATTGTAAAACGTAGCACAGATACAAATACCAGTATGATAGAGTCAATAAAAAAATTATGTGGCTTTAAATTCCAGGCAACTTTCACAAAATTCAATTGCCGCTGATGTGCCTCAAATTAAAAAATCATGAAATTTTCTAGCCGCCAAATTGTAACTGTTTACAGTATTCTCTGGTCACATTGGGTTTTAAACTTGGATGTTAGCAATAATATAGTTCCCTTTGATCTATGTGGTCAGATGACTAACATGGCCTTTCAAACTGCCAAATTTGTTCAGCTGCTGTAGTCATACTTCTATGTAGTGTACAATATAGAAAAATAAACTTTTCACATTCAGTCTTCTTGGTTGGCATTCGATGTTATTCATGGTTTTCTTACTACAGCACTTCTGGCATATTACAGAGTATGACATGGTAGGAGTGTGTACAAATCTTTTGCTGAGCAGTCAATACAGGAGAAGGGACAGAAGCATGCACACTGCGTACACAATATGCTAATGACCTTTAAAAGGAAAGTCAAGGCTAACAACATAATACTCCCAAAAAAAACATGTAAATAAATATTTTCAGTTCTGTTTCCATGACAACTATTTTAGAAGCACAAGTACATATATGCTACCATGTTCTAAACTTTCAGCCAATTTGAAGTTTTCACTTTTGAAGTTATAGATGAAATCATTTTCTCAATTTCTGACAACAGATTCTATGATGTCAGACTTTACCCATAATCCTTTGCTTGCTTGACTACATACGGTAATACGGATGAAAAGTTGAATATCTAGAGAATGAAAACATTGCATTCTCCTACATTTATGGAGCTTTTTCTTGAGGGGTCATTATGTTGTTTGGCTTGACTTTTCCTTTAACAAGGTTATGATGAATATCATTTGAAAGTGCATTTATTGATAGAAAATATTTATTATGAAACGCTGGAATCACGAATATTCAGTCTTGACCCACTTTCTATCATACTAAACTGGACACCATATTTAACAACTGTTTCTGGCCTTTACACTGTAGTATGCACGCCGAAACAGGTTTTGATTGTATACAGCGTCATCAGTGGCTGTTCCTGGCCCCATGTGTCAAGTAGTCTGTAATAAGGAAAAAGAAACAAATTTTGAGAAAACTTGTCAGCCTGAAACTAGTTGCAGATGGTAAAATTAATGTGAGAAACAAATACAGACTTTTCCTGCACGTTGTATTATAAAGCAGAAAACCCTCCATACATCAATAACACGGTTACTCTTATAAATTATGTTGTTCAAGGTCTATTTGTATTTGTTGATTGTATTATAGGGTCATAAGCAGTGTTGAGTGAACCTATATTTTTATTATGATTTGGCTGTTAGCTTTTAATGTACTCGTGAGGCGCATATGAAATTTGGCCGGTTCCAAAAAAAATATTGCTGCACATGTTAGTCAGTACAGCCACAGGAAAAATCATGCCATGGTTGTACTTAGAAACATGTACAGCAAGATTTGTTTGTACCCAGTCATTTTTAATAAGGACTTCATTAGTACAATATACAACTGACCCATAACAAAAATACACAAAACTTATGAATACAGGGATCAATCAACAAGGGGTTTCCAAGAAAGTGCGAATGTTACGTTTAAAAAACCTGCTCCATTTTGAAATAAAAATTTCAAGATTTTTACTGAAACTCTGGGTGGTTTCTGGTTTCTTGTATCAAAACCCAAACTTGTTAATGACCCATGGCTGATTTGGAGCAGAATCCAGTACTAATATAAATAACACTAAAGTAATTAGATTCTGTTACAATACCTGGTTAGATGTAGTACAATCTGATGTAGATGATCTTGAAAATCTACTCAGATGTTGTGAAACAAGATCTGACAAGCTTGGTGGGTCAATAAGAGATCTTCTCCTGTGGATTCGGCGTGGATCATCTTCAGCAAATGATATGTGCTGAGACATATGCCCTTCAACAGTAGATCTCATCCTGAATACAAGTTCTTGTAGCTCAGTAATATAAGTATATTGTTTTGGAACCAATACAGCTGACGGGTAGAATCTTTTTGACTGTTTTGAATAGTTGATTTTGAACCTAGATAGAAAAAACATGTCCAGTCATACAAAGTATGGAAGCAAGAAATAACAACAGTTTTCTAAAGTAAAATTAGGAGCCATTCACAAAATAGATCTGCTCAAATTCTACCCATGATCACTTTGACCAAAAACTAATAGTAGTTTCGATTTGTATGAGTAGCGTCACCAACACAAAAATGGGATACCAAAAAACGTTATCATTCAACCCATCTGTCCAAAATATCCTGGACAGGCTATTGAATTACAAAGTTTAGTAAAGAAAGTATTTTTTACTTATGAAAAATTGATCAGATTCAGATCAATGAATGAGATCTGATTTTTGTTCAGTGGAAATCAATTCATAAACACAATTTCTAACAAGATCTAATTTTGTCACTGGCAGTGTTTTGTTACGTACTTTGGTTGTCCATCTTCACTAACAGCTTGTTCACGTCCAGCATGCATGTTAAAATCTATGGCAGCGAGCTGGGTCCTAGCCTTATATCCAACAAATCTGAAAGAACCATACATTGAACATTTATTATTAGATTTTATTGAGAGTAGCTTGATAAGTCATAAGTTTTTCTACTACAAAGTTGCATATGATAATATACTTACGTGTACGAGTGTCGTTTGGGAGCATACATCAACATGTGGCTATGAAAAAGATTCCAAGAAACCAGTATGTCTGATGATGTAAACCAAAAAATACATATTTTAATTAATCATATAAAATAGCAGAAATGAAAATGTGTAACAAGTTCATGTACACTATGTTTAAAATCCTGCGCTGAAAGATAGTCATAAAATACAATGATAATGTGCACCTGAAGTTAGTGTAGTGCCCAAGATTTTTCAGCAGGCGCTTATCCTCTACAATATTTCTAAGGGCCAAATGAGCAGGTGATCCTTTTTCGAGCCAAGGCTTACACTGGTTTTCTACAGACAGGGGTTCATGAGCACATCCACCATATGTACCATCAACATTCAATAACCACTCATGTTCATTAACCACATGATGCAGAATGCCAAACCAAATTGCCTGCAAAAGATCAACATGATATTTGTACCCATGTAATTATAATATAATTATATAGAAGAATACACAACACTCTAGTGCTCAACTAAAACACATAAACTAAATATGACATATACCTTCATTTTCCTCTCATCACCACCACATTCCTTGGAAGCATACCAAAAATGGTTTCTAACCGCAGTTGCCCACACAAGTAGTTCCTTACAATTCTTTGATTTTGATGCCTGAAAACAAAATGCTAATTTGTTGATCATCAGATGGAAACCATTACATGAAAACGGAAAATTGGAAAGCTTGGAAGTTGGCTGGTGGGGATTAAGTCAATGAAAAACTAAAATATAGCAATATTATGTGATATCATTTGTGTACTTCATCAACATTTGTAACCTACCTCTACAACCTTTTTAAGGATATTTTTTCCACCATGCCACAGGTCCCATGAATGTTTTATGTCTGTGTACTTATCACAGTTGCCTGAAAAGAAGCATACCATAAGCATAATGATGGGAAGATCATTTAACTTGTAAATTGGAATGATTCCTGATTTCTTGATTCGCCTCCACATTGCTCACATAACTGCAACATTATCAAATTTTTTAAAGCTGATTGCCATAAAAAAGGATGTTCACTGAACACATGAAGTTGATACTCAGAATAATTTATGAATAATATGCTGTTAATATAAAAATTTATGTCTCAATACAACATATAGTAAGGTATCATTCAAGATGTGTAGTGGCAAGCACAATGTCCGGGCATAAAATGCACGATTTCTGTATTTTGTATAAGCTTGTTATTTTACACCTTTTTATGGTTGAACTGCACAGCAGAGATGCTCAATCTCTTGCAATTCAAACATTCAACAACAAGTCCCAGCACACAAAGAATCAACCAATTTGTTTTAATGACTGGAGGTCAAATAAGAACACATATTACAGCTTTATTTTAACTGAAAGTACTCTAATAGTTGTGTTTCATCATGACTGCAACAACTAGAATGGTACAAGTCAGTTATGTAATTGTGCACTGTTGTATAAGAAATACGGAGACAAAAGTGGACAATGTAATTACTTACGCATGAGTGCTGCAATCTGTATATGAGCATCTGTGACAACTTCTTCAATCCTAATTATTGTCTTTAGTTGGTCAATGGATCTTTCAAAGCCAAGGCGTTCCATGTTTGGACTTTTTCCACCAACTTCTCTAACATCTACTACTTCCCGTGTGTAAAATGGTTTTAGAGGCAGAATCTCCAAAATTATATGATAAGTATTGAGCAGAATGGCCCGGCGAAATCATTACGCCCATCTCCACAAAGAATAACACTTCCATCATATGACTCAAGCAAGTCCTTTCGCAATGTATTCCAGTATGCTTGATGGCA